GCCTTTCTTCCCTCTCTTAACAACAGGGAACCCCAATGTGTAAAGCAGGTAAAAGTGAAGCTATGCAGATTGATGAGGGGGAGAGGACCCACCTGCTTGACTCCCCCTCCCTTACTTCCCTGGGTGGTTTCTGAGGTGTCCTGAGGTTCCAAAAAGCCAAATTGGAAAGCTAAGTTCCTTTCCTGGTGAGAAAATCAAGGCTTAATGGAGACAAGTGCTGCAGGTCCACAGCTCCTCTCTCCCATGGGTGCTTTCTGCAGGGCTGGGCTGCTGCTCTCCTGGGCCCCTGGCTGCTTCGGTGATAGGCTGCTTAGAGCAGGGTGCAGTGGAATAAGCAAGGGCTTGGGACAGACAACGTAAGATTGAGCCCCGACTCTGAAAACCAATAGCTAGAGACCTTGAGTAACGTAGAACTTCTCTGACCTGCAGGTTCTCAGCTTCAAAATATAGGTGGCTTTTGTTGACATAGTTTATGTAAAGCAGCTAGTGTTGTGGCTATTTAGCACCTACCAGTGACTCTATGTGGCAAGTATTTTTTATTAAAGGAACTGATGAAGAGTCCGATAGACTAAGTATGGTAGAGAAGGCAGTGGAGAGAAAGGCAGTGAGTGCTGAGTGAGAGGAATCACAGGTTAAATTACTTCATATTGAGATCTGGGCCCCTGAACTCTTTCCACTTTCTATCCAGAGAGGAGGTCATAGCCCTGGCTGTCCTCACCGAATATTGGAACACATTTGAGAGGTGGGGAAGGTGATAAATCCCGGGTTCTAGCTTAGTGCTGCCTAAGTCACTGGCAATATCTCCCACCTCCTGGTGGGAGAAGCAGCAGGAGGCTGGGGTCGGGGTGTAGGGAGAGGAAGTGGGCAGTTGGGCGCATGGTTCTCACATACGTTGGTTTTTTTATACTGTGGCTAATGTTGCAGCTACTGGAGCGTTCTTATTACCACACGCCTTGATTCTTTGATAAAGATGTTGAAGTTCTCTTCTTGGCTGTGCTCAGTCATGTGGGCTGAAGATAAAGGGCACCATGTGCTTCCCTTGCCCCTGGGGTCCCTGAGGCCTCTTGGTCTGTTAGGGCATGGCTGGGTCACAAGGGAAGGAGCCCCAGCCCTGGGCTCTGCTAAGTCCCTTCTGCATAAGCTTGGTGGTAGTTCCCAGTGCCACGTGACTCTGAATAACCACATTATTCAGGTCACCTCTGAGATTGACCCTCTTCCTTGAATTTTCTGATCTGCCATTTGTTGCTCTTGTTGTTCATGTTGTTATTCTATGTTTTTGGAAGCAGCCAAACACCACAGTGGGAGGAACTGCCTGAGAAGGTGGTATTCAGGAAACCTGTGTTTTCTTCCTTGCTGTATTAGTAACTCATTATTTGGTCTTGGGCCTTAATTTGCCCATCTCTAAGTGAGAGAATTTAATGATAGAATCTGTATGGTTGCATTGAGCTCTACAAGTCTCCTTTCCTCCCCTGCCCACCTTCCTGTTTAAAGGTACTTAGATCCAGGTTAAAGCTATAGAGAAGCTGGCGAGATCTTATATACAGGTGTTTTAGTGAGTTGTTACTGTGTGCTGTTCATTGCATAAGAAACTTTAAAATTTTATCTCATTTAATCCTCACGAAAGCCCTGGTAGACACTATTGCTCCTATTTTGTAGATAAGAGAATTGAGGCTCAGAGATGTTAAACCAGTTGTTGAAGTGACCAGTATGCAATGGAGTGTGTTATGGAACCCTGGTCGTCATGACGCTGTGCAGTCAATCTTACTTATGAGCCTTTAGTGTGAGAACCTCCTGAGGAGGAGGACGTGGACGCAGTCTTTGGGCAGCAGGTCCTCACGGCTAGGTGAGAGGAAAACAGGCACTTATTAGGTGCCAGAAACTTTTCACATGTGATCTTCTCTAACCCTCCTAAGAATGATCAAGTATGTGGTATTATTACTGTTTACAGGTAAAAACCTCAGAGTCGTAATGGACTTGATGGAGGTCTCACAGCCAGCAGTGAGTAACAAGTTTTGGACCTAGGCTGTGAGTTGCCAAAGACTTCCCCTTTCCCAGTTCACATATTCTCTCACTGGAGGTGGACCAGGCTGCCCTGCTCGAGCCTGCCAACAGCCAAGAGGTGGCTGTTTGGAAGTGGGGGATCCCTGTACAAATTCCATGGGTCTCGAAAATTTACGTCATGCTGGACAATTAGGCACCTGCCTCTCCTGCTCCAGGACACAGTTGTTCCCAGCTTCCAGAAACTTCCTTCAGTCCCATCCTGGGATGGTAACCTTATTCCACTTTTTAAAAAATATACATTTTTTTAAATTGATTTCAGAGAGGAAGGGAGAAGGAGAGATAGAAACATCAATGATGAGAGAGAATCATTGATTGGCTGCCTCCTGCACGCCCCCCACTGGGAATTGAGCCAGCCACCCAGGCACATGCCCTGACCAGGAAGTGAACCATGACCTCCTGATCCGTAGCTTGACGCTCAACCACTGAGCCACACTTTTTTATCACCAGTGTCTTGAAGAAAGCTGAGTTGATACACTCATGCGTGGGGGTGTATGTATGTACACACACATCTACATGGGGTTTGTCCCCTCAGCGTGGGTCTCTAAGACCTTTGAGGACAGGAAACTCTCAACAAATGCTTCCTAGAGGAAAACTGTTTTCTAGTGAGGATCACAAAATCCTTCATGGGAGATGAGCTCTCTGGAGGCTGCTGGGAGGCCCAAGTATTGGTGATAGTTGATAAAGGGAGCATTTACAAACTTTACAAACTGCTGGGTGAATTTAGGCTGCTAGTCTATGTGGAAATTATATTCAGCTAAAATTGATAACATTGCTGTTACATATCTATTACAGGATACGTGTCCAGAATACATGTAGAATAAATTAATTAATGACAAAGTACAAGTAATTCTAATTGCAAGTGACAAAAGCTGATTCTGGCCAAACGAATTAAAAATTTTTAGAAGAATACTGTTCTGCTCATTGAAAGAACACTGGGGAAGGTCTGGAGAACCTGCTGTAAGCCAGGGGGTGTCTTGGGAAGGACAGAACGAGGGTAGCTCTGGGAATCTAGAGGAAATCTAAACTGTGCTCTGTTCCCCTCATAATTCAAATTCCTCAGGGAGTCTGGGTCATGACTGAGAACCTTCCCAGAATCATGTGGAAAGGCGAGGGCTAGCTCCACGAAGGAAGGTGTTTTGGGCAGGCACACACACTGAAGGGATCTACTGTAATAGATACATAGGGCAACCCTGACCCTGCAGAAGTTTATAGTCAGTGGGGGAAGGACAGACAAAGGGGTAATTAATGGTAGGGTGTGTTGGCTGCTTTGGGACCTTGGGGAGGTTTTAAGTTGTACATGTGGGGAAGTGTCAAGTAAGGTTGACAGGTTAAGATTGTTGGAGATTGAGTTTTAAAGGCTAAGTAAAAGTTTGCCAGCTGGACAAATGCATTTCAGGAGGAAGTCCTTATGTGACAGTTCAGCAATATGAAAGAGTGATGTGTCCAGGAAATGCAAGAGTGCCTGGTCTAGAGAGTGCATCACACAGGGAGAAATGTGGGTGGGGCCTGATCTTAAAGGGCCCCACGCTCTGTTAGGCATTGGGACTATTAGTCCTAGGAGGTGAGCTGTCATTGAATGACTTTAAGTAGCAGAAGGACATGATCAGTTCTTAGTTTTAGGAAGATAATTGTGGGGGCTGTAGCAGCTCCTCAAATTTAACTCCTTTGAATATGGCTGTTAAACTTGGGTGGCCGATGGTTCCAGTTGAGCCACAGAATGAAATGATGGGGGCAATAGTCAAAAGTGACTCCCTGAATGGCTAGAGAGCCCCAGATTTTGATGAGTAGTCCCAGTAACTCCATCTTCTGTGGTAGATCAGGGAGATGATAGCTGTTGAAGAAAAGAGCCCCCTGATGGCTCTCATTGCCTGTGGAGTTCTGAGTGTTTGCAAGTGACATGTCCTGGCTTAGAAGGCCATAGGCCACTGAAGGTTGTGAAGGAGCTGGGTAGGAGGTGTACCCCTCCCACCTTCACCCCCAACGCCCTGTTCTCGTCTGTGCTTAGAAATAGGCAGTGCAGTGCAGCAGTGGTCTGGGAAGAAAATTTGAGAGGAACCTAGCAGAAGCTCAGGCCCTTGGTGCCTGTGGGAAGGGAAGCCCTTCCTTTAGATAGCCATTCAGTGATTTTGCAGAGGAAGTTGAATGAGGTTAAGAAAGCTGGGGTCCTTGCGGGTGGCTGGGGGTAGAGCTTCCTTTTCCTTATAAACATGAACACTGACAGGGGACAACACAAAGTGCTGTTTCCTTTGCAATAGTGGTTTCAGAAAACAGGAAAATCTTCACTCCTACTGTGAGACTAGTGTTTGGAGGAATTGTGGCTGGAAACTGTTAGGGGTGCCTGGTAGGGTGGATCACACATTTGAACACTGCAGAACGGGTTGGAACATGGGATCCAAATCCAAGATGGGCTAGAATCTGCCTGTTTTCACATTTTAGCTATGTGACTTTGGTCAAGTTACTTAACCTTTCTGTTTTTGGTTCTCTGACTGGTAATGTCACACCACCAACCGCCATCACCACCAAACCTAGCGATATTGAGCACTTACAGTATGCCAGACACTGTGCAGAAGTGTTTTATATTTATCATCTCATTGTTTTCTTAAACAATGCAGTGAGTAGTGTTATTATTAACATTTCACAGATCAGGAAACTGAGACACAGCGAGGATGGTAACTTGCCCGTCTCTCCCTCCCCCACCCTGCAAAAAAAAGAAAAAAAAAAGAAAAAAAAAGAAAAATCAGTAAATGGTGGAACTAGGATTTAAATTCAGACAGGGTGACCTCGGAGTTTGACACATCCCAGAGCTGTCTGTGTTTTCAAGGAGATTATATGTGTAAAGTGCTTAAGGCGGCTATAGCTCCTGGCCCTTAGTGAGCACCTAGCACTGTGAGCAAACTCTTGTGCTTTTTGTCTCACCTGCTCCTTTGTGTCTCTCCCAGAAGCAGCTGACACAGGATGATGATGCCGATGAGGTCGAGATTGCCGTTGACAACACAGCCTTCATGGATGAGTTCTTCTCTGAGGTAGGCTAAATGTACATAAGGAAACACAGCTTCCTCAGTAAAGAATAAAACCCTCAGATCTTTCCAGGGTAGCAAAAAAAGTCAGTCTTTCCCGGGGGAGGGGTGGTACGACCAAGATGTTACAAGGAGAATCTCTCCAAGGCTTACTTGGGCGGATTAATCTATGGAGAAAGTCAGCACAAGGTAAATTATATGTGATTGAAGAGGTGCTTTTAAAGTTTTTTTGTTTTTTAATATATTTTTATTGATTTCAGAGAGGAAGAGAGAGGGAGAGAGATAGAAACATCAATGATGGAGAGAATCATTGATTGGCTGCCCCCTTCATGCCCTCTACTGGGGATCGAGCCTACAACATGGGCATGTGCCCTTGACCGGAATCGAACCTGGGACCCTTCAGTCCACAGGCTGATGCTTTATCCACTAAGCCAACCCGGCTAGGGCAAGTTTTTAAGGTACATGATAACATTATAGTGATATCTTTTTTTTTTTTTTTTTTTGCCTAAATTACATAATTTTAATACAGGATCAATCTTGGGGTCCAGCCATGAGTATAAAACACATTGCATTTTCAGGCCTGTGATTCATATAGATCAGATATGTTTCCAAAAATGTAGTTCCATTGACTTAATTCTAGTGATAACAGAGAAACCAAGAAACCACCAATTTATGTTTTTGAAGTTGAATAGGGACAAAGAGGGATTGCTCATGTCTACAGTTTCACATGCTCTTTGATTTTGAAGGTCTTTGTCGGGAAGGTGCTATAGTAAATAATGCTGGGAAGCTGTGGGGTATAGTGTGTCTTGGGGAGTCAGGTGAACTTGGGTTCAAATCTCAGCTCTGCTTCCAACCAGCTGTTGATCTTGTGAATGCTTCTTAGCATGCTTGGTTTATTTACCTGTAGATTGGGATGAGTAATGTAATTCTCTGGAGGGTTATTATCGGGATTAAATGGGATAATGTTTCTCATACATTCAGTGTAGCATCTGAGATATATGTGCTCAATAACGATACTTTATAACAACAGAACAGAACCACAGACAGTTCAGACACTGAAGTTTTTGACATCATACTATGGCTTCTTATTTTATGGCTTTTAAATTTTTTTGGAAAGAAGACAAGAGGCATCGGGTTCTTTTGCAAAGAGCAAGTGGTGCTTCCTGCCCTCTAGTTTATGGATTCAGAAAAGCCATCCTCTAGTTCTTGTCTAAATGGAGTGGAGCGAGGCTTGATGGTTCAGGTCCGTTCATGTGTGAGAGTAATAGGCAGGTGTAAGAGTGAGTGAAGGTGAGCGTGTGCTGGCCTGATTGGGAAGTTGGCTGCGAACATTCCACAGATCCCCGCCCTCCACATAGCCCAGCAGTCATAGTGAGATCGAACATTTGGGTTGTGAGTTCAGTATTGTTCCACATGTGGATCATGAAGGGAATATGTCTGTCTGTTCACTGGTGGGAGAGGACTCTAGAAGGTATTTATGTCATTGTAGCTGGTCCCTCTGATCTTGCCTTGGGAAATCAGATACATTAAATAACTTAATATAAGGGGATAATGAATAAGGAAGAAGGGATAAGGGATAAGGGATCTTATCCAATGATAGTGTTCTGCCTCTTCTCTTACACCAGAGGGGCTCTGAGAGGCAGTATTCCTTATGAGGTAGGAGATGGTAGACTTTCTTTGTCACATGGTATTCTATCATTTAGAAAAAAAAAAAAGAGCCCTGTCATATTTAGGGTGGAGAAGGGGACAGCATGGTGGGGTGGAAAGAGTATGATCTTTGAAATTAATTTCTTCTTTTTTTTAATCTTTAAATTCTTTATTAGTTAAGGAATTACAGATGTGTCCTCATCCCCCCCCCCCCCCCATTAACCCCCATGAAATTAATTTCTTATCTGCCAAGAGCTATGATCTTGGGCACATTCCTAACTTCTCTAAGCCCCAGTAAGTTTATCTGTGAAATGGGGAGAAAAATATCCACCTCAGATTTTTGGGAATTAAAGGAGCTAACACTCAGAAAGTGCTTGGTGTGGGCACAGGTAAATGTTACCTTCCTTCTTTCTCATTAGGTAAAGCACAGATAGGATAAGCGTTGGAGTGGGGCAGAGGCAAGAGCAAGCGAGTCATGGAAAGAGATCATACAGGCTCTGCCCCCTCGCAGATCCTGGTCTAAATCTCAGCTCTGCCCATCACTACCTGTTGAACTTTGGAAAAGTTGTCTAACTGCTCCAAAACCCAGTTTCTTCTAAAATAAGAATAGTGGTATTACCTACTGATTATTAGAAATATAAAATGAGCCCTGGCCAGGTAGCTCAGTTGGTTAGTGTGTCATCCCGATATGCCTACGTTGTGGGTTCAATCCCTGGTAAGGGCACATGTAAGAATTAACCAATGAATGCATAAATAAGTGGAACAACAAATCACTGTTTCTCTCTCTCTAAAAAATCAATAAAAGAAAATGAGAAAGTATGTGATGTACCTAGCATGGTGCCTAACATACATTAAGTATGTCTGCAGTAATTTTCGTGCTTATCAGCATCATGTTCCCCAATGGTTTTTGAGTAAGTAAAACACAGAGTTGATTTTATAGACTATGGCCTAGAAACACCCTTGAAAGTGAAATAAAGTACATTCCAGGTAACGGGGATTTGGCGAAAGAAGGGGGTTTCCCTTTGTGACTGGGGAATACACCCCCTACTCCCTGCAGCATCTGGCTAAGTAGGTTTCTGGGGAAGGCACTCTTGTGATAAGACCCGCCTTTTGGACTCGTTCTAGTGAGTAGGTCACGCTTGGTTATTTGCTGAGGACCGATAGTGTGAATCACAGGTGGTCAGAGTGGCATTTGCAAGGCGTGGATGAAGTCACAGGACCAGGATGGTTTCAAAATGTGCTTTGCACTGTGAAATTCCAATGGTTTCTCCAGCTTCTTGATTGTTAGATAAGAGAATTGGCCCTTGAGTTTTCAGGCCTCCTTGGCTGGGCAAGCCGGGGTCTAGTAAATGATAAACCTCAGACTTTTGTCTAATTTGCAGTTGTCTGTATTTTCCTTGGTCTGTTTACTCAGTTGGCAGAGAGAGAGAGAGCAGAGTTTCAGAGGAAACAGAACATACCTGAGAAGGCAGAAAGATGAGGGGTTTATTGTTCTATATTCATTCATCCATTCATCTAATCATGGGAAGACATGAGTACCACTGTCCTCCAGACAGTGTGCTAGGTACTGGGGATAGAACCTTCTGTGTGACAGGGGTCTTGCCTTCTGGTGGCTCCTTGTCTGGTGAGGGTGACAGAAAAATTTAAAAAGTCACATGGTAACGAGTGTCAACAGGTAGTAAAGTGGGAGCACAGAAGAGGAAGCCTCATGCTCTGTCGGGATAGAGGGGAAGGGGAGGGGACGGCAGGCCTCATTGCTTTGAAACTAGACTTGCCCATCAGAGTTGCCTGGGAGTTGTTTGCACATACACTTGACACAGAGGGCCTGGAATGCTCAGACTTCTGAAGTTCTTCCAGATGCTTCTGTTGCCTGCTGCAGCTACAAACTCCTGCGAAGTAATGGGGAGCCTTTGAACGTTTTAAACAAGAAACTAATGGGATTGAGGTGACTTTTAGAAAATTATTCTGGTGGTAGTGTGTGGAGAGGGAGAGGCCAGAAAAGGAAAGATCAGTAAGTTTCCATGCCCAGCTAATGGGAAAAAGGAGCGCCCGGCCTGAATCTGGGTCGCTGAGCAGCAGCATGGTGTATCACTTAGGGATGCCTTCATGTAACTGTGGCTTAAGCAATAAAGACATGAATGATTTCACATATGAACAAGTCTGGAGTTAGGGATGGTGCAGCGGGTTAGAGGTGTTGGGGTTCTAGGTCAATAGCTCTCTGACCCTCTTGGCTTTTCCCTTAGGATTGAGAGATGGAGTTTGTTTGGATTATTGCTGTATAGCAAATTGCTGTAACCGTTAGTGGTGTAACCAACCTTTTCGGTGATTCTGATAGAGTCTGTGGAGTAGAAATTCAGACAGGGCACAGTGGCAAACAGGGCATAGTGGAGATGGCTGAGTTTTGCCCCACAATTTCTGGAGCCTTAGTTGTGAAGAATTGAACATCCAGAGGCAGGAATCTTTATTCTAACATTGAGAGAGACTTCTGTATTCTAACACTGGTGTTTGAACTAGAGGGACTCAGGAAGGCTCAGCAGAGCCTGTCATTTGGAGTGCCTACACTTGGCCGCTTTCTGTGGCTTGGACTTCTCAGCACCACCAAGTCAGGGTGTGAGGTTGGTACACACAGACTCATGGGTGTAAGGCAAGTGTTCCAGCTATGGAAGTCACCTGTGCTATACTCTGTTGTTGAAGCAGATTCAAAAGGGCAATATACAGAATACCACCTCTCAATGGGAGGGGCATTAAAGAATGGGAGGGGCATTAAAGAATTTGTGTTGTGTTCTACAGCCACCATAGTCACAGCTGCATATGGCATTGTCCTATACCAGCCTCACAAGAAGTGAGAAAGGGGGCAGCTAGAAAAGTTCAAAGATGCTTTTATCAGGGAAGAAGATGGCACAAATCCTCCAAGTTGACTTTCCCTTGTTACCCATTGGCCAGCAATGGATCACATGGTTGTGGCCAGGCTTGGCTAGAAGGGAGGCCAGGAGGGTGACTCCTTCGTAAAGGGACAGGATTGTCAGGATGGCCATAGAACCCATCGTGATTCATCCTCTGGTGATGGCAGCATTGCTGCCCAAACAAAATCAGAATTTTGGTAACAAGAAGGGCAGGGGCTGGCATGTGGGTGTTTGGTGGGTCAGAGTGCTTGTCATGGACGGCAGTATGAGATGCAAAAAGACTTCTGGGATCAAAAATGTCTGAGAAATGCTTCCTATTCCTTCCTACCATGGAGAGGTAAAATGCACGTTAACTTATGAAAGGCTCCAAGAGGTCCTGTAATAAAGAGACCTGCTACTGGTGTAGCCACTATGGAAGACAGTATGGAGTTTCCTCAAAAAACTGAAAATGGAACT